AGCAATGTCTTTGATGATATTTTTCACTTATGTTTCCTTACTTTGCAATAGAACCAAAAACTTGATCCTGGAGTAAATAAAAGGCCCTGAATATCGATCCCATGGGGAAATTAACAATATGCACTATCAAACAGCAAACTTCTATTTTAAAAAGATAATTACTTAAACTATAGATAATTTGAAAGTAATTAAAATTCAATTCTTTTTGATATTTTTGTTCTTTTTGATATTTTTGATATTTTTGATATTTTGACAAAACAATAACAACTTCTAAATCTAACTTGAGTTTACGTAAAAAGAAGAAAAACTCTGAATATGAAAATATCTTTTTCCTCATCATGAATCAGTAATAAGTATTGAAATTCTTTTATAGAAGTATGCAAATTGTGTTGTGCCAAATAAAAACAATAATATTCTTTACCCTTACTAGAGATGCTATAAAGAACATTAGCTAATTTAAAGCTTGAATAGTTCTTAAGACCGGCTAGGCAGGGAAGATACTTGCTCTCACTCTAGAGTTCCCTCGATTCCCTCCACCTAGGGGCTAGCATCTCGTATCAGAACCTAAAACAATAAACCAAGTTGGGGGCTTTAACCTGTCACTTTAAATGCTCTACACCCTTCAAAGACTATTTCCCTATTTATTTGCACTAAATCATATAAATTACATTCTCATTCATACAACCTCATTTGATTCCTTCCAATTTTTGGGTGAGACAATTCCAACCCGGTTGTTACATGCTCTCTCAACAAATTTTAACATCTAGATATGTCAAATCAAGAAGTAAATGAAGTGCATGGATTTAAATTATCACAACTTTTTCCAACTTTAAAGATCAATACTCTCCACAACTTCCATCCAACAATTTAATTACTTATCATTTTAAGGAAAAAGATAAATAAAACTACTCAAAATCCATGGAGAAAACAAAACCACACTTTAATTTAAAAGTAGAAATCATTATTCAATTAAAACCAAGTCTCAATTAAAACCAAAAGTAGTTTAAAAACAAAGATAAAATATTATCTCAAATACTCCACCAAATTTTTGTTTCTAGGGGTCATAACCAGCCTCTTTAGCCAATAAGTGCCTAAAATGTCCTTTCAAAATTCGACAAATTGAAGTAAACTGTCACATAATTGTCTCTGGCGCTTAAGAGCTGGGTCTCTAGCGCTTAGGCGCGGTCTTCTCTATTTCACCGGCGCTTAAGCGCCAAAACTTTTTTGCATCATTTTCACTTTTTTGCTCCAAATTGATCCTTTTTCACCCCTTTTAGCATTTTTTTGTCATTTTTACTTGTACTTGAAAGAAAAACACACAAATACTTTCCATTAAAACGCAATATATCAAAAAATAGACATAAAAATGTGTTTAAAAATACTATATATTTTAGGTGTATCAGCACCTCAGTTCATTTTTGCTTTAAAATTGATCTCTTTTCACTCCTTTCACCATTTTTCATCCCTTTGATTGTACCTGAAAGAAAAACACACAAACACTTTTTATTAAAGAGCAATATCTAAAAAATAAGTGTAAAAATGAGTACATAAAGACTATATATTTTAGGTGTATCGGGAGTCTTAGAGGACTCCCATGTTGTTTGCTAAAACGACTTACACCCATCCAAGAGAGTTTTGTTTGATCAAAATTAATTCTTATGTGGAGGCATTTTGAATAAAAACAGTTATTTCAAAAATAGAGCAAATTTAATCCAAACTTAGGAGTTAGTGTCTGTCCAATTGACCGCCTCTTCTTTCTCTTCTTCTTATTTTCCCTCCTCTTTTTTCTCGCACAAACTTGGTGACTTTCGTGTACTCAGATTTCTTACTGGATTTCTTCTCAAAATTCTTGTTGGTTGCCTCGATTTGTCATTTTTCCTCTTAAGTTCCTAATATTGTTTAGAGGTCATCAGTCATGGCTCCGAACCTTTTTGATTTCAACGCCATGTTGATTATAGTCCCCTCTGTATATTGGAGGATGGAGATGTAATTTTCTTCGATTACTGAAGCCAAAAATCTAATATTATGAGGCACAGACTTCTTTTTGTATGGTCCTTCGCTCAAACGGATATGGATGCCTCAATCCCTGACATACCTGAGAAGGAAGTGTCACTTCTAGCTCTTGATGTTGTTTTCCAGGACAACCAAATTAAATTTATGGGTCGATCCAAGGATTACATGACCATATGGCTTCATTGGGAAAAAGAGCATATGGCAAATAGCTCCTAAGACTAGAAAATTTTCCGTCACTGGTAGTAAATGACATATTTCATAAGGATCGCAATCAAATTTAATTTATTTTTATCAGAGTCACATAGCAGTGATTCATAATTAATCAGAGCTCGTGGCACAAGGGCTACCGAAGACCCCACTAGAATTGGTCCCGGTAGAAGGCCAAGTCTATGTCACTAAAATCGTTTGTCGCTCGATCATCTGGTCTTGTTGCCGACAACATGATGTCCTTAGAAGTTGAATGCATCACCTGAAGTGAAGGTAGCACTTTTAATGGCCTTAAACTTCCAGAGGAGTTGCGGAGAGTACTTGGGCGTCATTCAAGCAAAGGGAAGCGAGCAAAGGAAATCAACAAATAGGAGGAAAATTCGAAAATTGAAAGCGCAAAAAAAAAAAGACCCACAACACTTATATATAGAGTGCCACCAAAAACAAAAACATCGTAGAAACTGTACCTTGATTATGGGAAAATGTGTCACAACAACACAACATATGAGGAAAATAATCACAGATAAGATTTTTTGATAAATATTAAAGTTTTGTTCAAATAAATAATATTTTACAAGCAATTCTTTAGCCGCTTTAGGTGAGACAAACCCTCATCTAAGCAGCTTTTGATAAACTCACCCACCAAACCTAAACCTATCTACGTAATCTGCTGCAGTACTGATTTGAATGACAAAACATGTCTCCCATATTCTGCAGCTCCACCGAGATGATTTCTATCTTTGCTTCATGGTTCGATTGAAGGGTTATCGGTTTAGCTGAATGTTCCAGTTTAAAATGTCCTCCTGCAGCTTTCTTATTGTAGCCTCCCACTGCACCTCTACCACTCTAGTGCAAGAGTCGACCGTTTCTTCTATTTGATAGGCCAATGAATTCGTTGACCTTCGCCACCCATCGGTCGCCCATTCCGGGTACTTGATGGGCGATGATTGCTTCTCCTTCACTCTACATAAGTGTCAGATCTGCTTTGATTGGCCTTGGAGCAGGTCCATGACCAGTAGTTTGCAGTGGAGAATGGACTGTTAGGATCACATTGTTTGCGTAAAAAAAAACATTGTCAAGGTTGGAGAAAAATTCCTAAGTGTAATGATCAAATTATCTTGAAAGTTTTACCTTGACACCTTTCATAAGGTCCCAAATGAGATACTTGTCTGATTATGATGATTCACCCTCTGCCCGACATACTAGCTTTATCTTGGCGATAAAAGTCCACCATATAGACGGAAGGAATCAATAGCTGGAAAACAACAGTCAATCGTCAGAGTCCAGTCACCTGAATCAAGTTTGAATGATCGAAGGTCATCAAAATCTAACCGACAAATCCAAGCTGGCTGAGTCAAAGATAAGATAATTAAAGGCGGCCATCAAATCAACATGTTATCCCTATTTATCATGGTCAAAAGGACGGATCCTGCAGAACTAAGTTCACTTGACATCAGGTAACCGAGCGATAGGGTAGCCGTACTAAAATCCTATTCATGTAAAAATACATAAATAATCCACAACACTTCTCATCAAAGCAGGGTTAAGTATGTAATTGTACACTTGAGACCCCCATCCCTAGAAATAGGGGAATCATTTTTACAGTAAAAGATAATCAAAAATCATTTTTAAGATTATATGTTGTGCACACACACACACTCTCTCTTCATTTTCTCTCTCCTATTTACACTATTCTTTGGACATATTTCCCGGATAAATTCGGTTTCAAAACACACACACACAGATATATATATTAAAAACAGACGCTCTTTTTCGAATCACAATTATCACAAAAAAATATTAACAATTTAATAAAATTGCGATTTTAAAAGTCCAAGCATGTCTTTAATTTGTTTACCTCTGACTCACAATTCATAGTGGACAGAAGAAATATTGTCTTAAAAATAAATTATTAAAATTAAATTGTCTATATCAAATTTGAAAGATATTCCCACACAAAAGATAATTAAATTGATCTCACATAGTATACGACATAACACGTGGAAATTATAAACACATCACATAAAAATCCTTTATCCCAGTCATAATTACAAATAGTCAGAATGCTCGCAAGTCGCATCCCAGTATGAACCCCTTATTTACCGCTGAAAATTATATACGGACGGCTATAGAAGGTGCGGACGAAGGCTGTTAAAAAAGTTTGTTGTTCGTGATAATGTGTCGGGTTCGTTAAGTAGTTTGTGTTCGGCTCGTTCACTAAGCTAACGAGCCGGACACGAACAAAAAATTAATTATTTTTTTTTGGCTCGGTGTCCGATAATTCGTGATATTCGAGCCGGACACGAACAGAAGTTTGTTTTGACTTTAAAAAAATTAATTGACAATAAGGCTACAAAGATTTACAATCAATTAAAAGTATTAATTAAAAAATAAAATAAAATTTATCAAATTAAATTCAAATGATATTTTAATATAAACAATAATTTTTAAATCTTACTCAAATTTTTAAAATTTTATATCTATATAATTAAGATTGTCAAAATGACTCTTCGTTCGGGGAACGATTGGTGTTTACAAACATACTTTTGAATTCGAAATATAATCGAGCCGAACAGGTGGACCGCGTCACCATCTAATAAGCATTCCTTATTTACAGCATGCATGCCACGTGGCTCCGTCAACGTCCAGCATGCAACCAACGCAGTTCCAAGACGCCGTCAAGCAAGCATCCACCATTCCGACCTCTCACGTGGGTCCCGCAAACACCGTCTCATCTCCGTTATTCTCCCTCCCTCCCTCCCGTTCCCCTTCTTATTCCCCCCCACAAAAACTCACCTCCCCCAATCCACCTTCCAGCAGCTCTCATCTCTCCCCTTCCTTCCCTGCACCCAATCCCAAAACATGCTCCATAAAAAACACAACCATAGATTCTTCAAGTTCAGATCACCTCAAAATCCCAACTTTTTTCTCTCTTCTGACTGAAAGCCTCCCCGTCAAACCCTAAACCGCGAAGTACAATACGTATTCATCAATGGTGCAGTCCTTTGATTTCTCACGTGATAGAGCCGTGGTGGTAGAGATGGCAGGCATAATCATAAGAATCGATTACTCTAGACTCTTTTGGCTTCTATTTGGTGTTTTCTCTTATGAGAATCACGAAGGGAAGCCGAGGATCTGAGAGTTTTAATTCCTTTCTTTCTTCTGTCTTCTTCTTCTGCAGCTCCCTCCTCCTTCTTCTTCTTCTTCTTCTTCTTCTTCTTTGATTCTCCTTCGCTGTTTAATTGGACTGTTTTCGAGTGGTATGTTCGTCATGCCGCCCGGCGATGATATGGGAAATGGTTATGTTGAGACTGATCCGACCGGTCGCTATGGACGAGTAAGTGCTTTTATGAGTTTTTATTCTTCATAAATTTCTTTTGGGATAATTACATAAAGATATATTGATAATTATTTATTTATTTATTTTTATTTAACTATGGAATCATTGTATTTATGAGTGCCATAATCAAGCTGTTGAGAATATGATAAAAATGAAAAATTTTGGTTGGGATTTATTTGGAAAATAGAGGAAAGAGGAGGGTTGATTTGTAAATGCAATGTTTCGGTGCGTCGGGACGTTATTCAGAGGGTATAGAGGGGTTATATTCGCGTTATACCTCCTGTAACTTTCCTGTAACATACCTGTAACTTATCTGTAACCTACAAATAAGTTCGCGCTTCTGTAATCCCGATAGTTACAGGTATGTTACATAGAGGTTACAAGGGTTATAACGCGGATATAATCCCCCTATACCCTCTGAATAACTTCTGATGTACGCAGTGATGACGTACACAAATATTTTCCGTACGTAATTGCATCTTTTTATTTTCAATGTTGCTTTAGATGGTAGTGAATTTTATTGTTGTTTTATTATTTGATGATAGGATTTATCTTGATTCATTTATTTGATATTTTATAGGTTAGAATATTTTTTTTAGATCGTAGGGGGGATTTCTGAGAAAATTTTCCGGATGAAATTTTGTTCACAATATTTTATCAAAATATGATGAGAATTATTAATTTTCTTTAAGATTGGTGCAAGTATGATAGTTGAATGATTAAATATGTATTATATTAATCATAAAATAAATTTAATGATTTTATAAAATATCATAATTAAGTTCTGATTAAGGTGTCGTAAGCCACTTTTCCTCTGAATTAAATTTGCTTAGCTATGAACATCTGATGGCTATGTTTTTGTACCGTACTCCAAAGGTGATGCACTTTCTTATATTATTTTTAAGAAAAGGAAATATATATATATATAATATAGAGATAAGCGTAGCAAAGCATGAGTAATGTGATGATGCGATTTACAAATTTAAAAGGGAGATGCAATTATGGTTGTTAAAAAGGTTAGAATTTTAAATGGAAAGTGAGGCGGCTTCTCTTGTTGTTGACTCTTAAAAAAATTAGGATGTTGGATTCTAGTTTGTCCATTATAAACATGTCTCGAGAGTTTGAGCTGAGTGAAGGAGAGGAGCAGAAAAATAGCAAAATAAGATTAGAATTTTTTGTAGGGAGTATCGAGGGAGTGGTCCCTTTATTCATATTTTTGACTGTACTTATAAAAACATGTTCTGTACAATTATAGAAAGCATGAAACGGTTATGGAATCCGTTCATAATGTCATTAAAGCTCTAATTATTAGCATAGATTTTATCTCATATTCGCATTACAATTTGAATTTCAATATTGACAGTAATTGGCTAGTTGACTGACTTGAAGTTAACAGATGAGACGATCGGTCGAGTGGCGTCTGTGTCCTCTGAAGTGCGCGTTGGTCGGTCGGGCTGTTAGGCCGCACGGTATTTTTACTAAGTGTCTTTCTGCACGGTTGAGCGGCCAATTGTGAGGTAGTTGTTCGGTGTGGACGCGGGGTTGGCCGGTTGAACGTGATCCATCTGTTTTTTTCATTGAGTAAGGTGTGAGTCATTTTCCATTCGGCTCGAGTCTTACAGGGCTTGTGTTGCGCCTGCCTTGTTGGCCCGCTGTCTCCACCGGATCTCTTAATCTTTTAAGGTTTTAGGCCGATCATGTCGCAGCCTATGGGAGATATCTAACTAAACTTGATGCCATGATGATTTAAGCCTCACATTCGACAGGCCTTACTGCTATCGAGCGGGGAACCATCTCCAGAGCTCGAGCCTATTCTGGGTTTTGGAGACGTAGCTTTTTACTCGGTCTTGAATTGTCGGTTGATTGCTTACCCCGAAAGGATGCTCATTCATCTTGGCCGTTTGTTTTCTTTGAGATTCGTGCTGGTATTTTTGGTGTGTACATGGGAACATAGTCATCTTTTTTGAGGTTTTATTTTCTTGAAAATAGACATGCTTCAGCACCAATTTAACTTATGCTTAATTAGCAAAATCACATCTCCGGCCTTCCAGTCCTTGTCATAGGAAAATGATCCTCAATTTCTCAATTATATAAACGACGTCATTGATTAGTACACATCACAAGCTGATGATTCAAGTAGTTTAGGTGGACCGGCTAAATATAAATATCTTAGACGATTTAATTGAACATGTAATATATATATATATATATATTCTCATCCAGTAGTTAGACTATATATATATATATATAGATATAGTTTCATATTAGGCATTGATTTTTCTAGGTGAAAATTTTTATACCTTTTATTTATTTAATTGTTTTGGATTGGTTGAGCTTTTAAAAGTTTAATCATAATCATTAATAGTTAATAAATACTACCTGATCGATATATAAATCATAAATTCTATGGTGCTTTATTGATAGATAAATTTACTTGATAAATGATCATTAAGATCATGTTGGCACGCCTATATAAGATTTTTAATATTTTTATTCCCAATTGAGCACTAGTGACTGCTGCGAAGATCATTTATCACACAGAAAGGAAATTGAAAAGGACTGCTTCATTAGGCAACAAAAACCATGCGTTTAAAATAATAGGGGCGTTTATCTTTATTTGTTCATATTGTTAATTTATATTTTACGCATTAAAAACTTGAACGTGTGGTTGACACATAAAATGCAAGAAGTTTTTGTATTTCACGGCAGTATGTTTATGAATTTTTGAATTTTTATATATTGATTTATTATTTGAGTTGTAAGTGTTGTTTGTTTTACGAATAAATTATTTTATTTTTTGTGTCGGGAGGTCCATGATGGTAGAGTGATAAATTTTATCTATTAGCATTGCATGTAAATTCAACACACACATAGAAAATTAAAGAGAAGTTAGTAGGAAGAGACACCTCGACTTTTTAAGTGGAAAATCTAGAAATGAAAAAAATAATGGGGCATGAATCACTTGAAATAATTTACTGTGTAATTATGAGTACATGAGTCAACTCTTCTCCAGAATTGGGGAAGATAGAGTTACAAAATTGATATAGTGGTAGTTAAGAAATAATAGCTATAGCAGGCTGTTAAGACCGTAGTCGATGGATTTAAAGACAGTAGCACAACATGAATTCTATAGACGGCGGTCGTAGTGTCATTTTGTTGTAGAAGTTTTAGTTGAATTTCGTGGCAGTAGTTGAATGTTGTGGTCATAAATGATTGCATTTAGAGTGTTGGTTGGCTGTACAGGTCGTAACAGGGGCTTGCGGGAGCCGTGAGCCATGTAGTTTTTAGTTGGTCATATAGGCCACAGTGATAAAAAAATTATGACGTCCGTAGGGCTTTAAGACCATTGTTCGGAGTCGCATGGGTTGGGACCCCATAGGCTGTAGTTGATCATGTAGGTCATAATTGTGAGTTATGATGATGTCTGTAAGCCATTGGAATCAGAGTTAGAAACTACGCGAGTTGTGAGCTAGTAAGCTATAGTTGATTACATAGGATCTAAACTCTTGTATTGAGCTGCGATGACATCTATGGGTCACAAGGGTCAGAGCTAGGAACTGCATGAGTCGTGAGCCATTTAGGCTATAATTTGTCATGTACATCGCAGTGGTCACCTGCAATTACGTCTGTAAGCCATAGGCCAAAGAATCCGGAGTTAGAAGCTGCACATGCGGTGGACCATGCAGGCCTAGTTGGTCATATAGGTCATAGTGGTGAAATGCACAGAGAGAAATTTAGGAGTCCAGAGAAGATCACCGTATTTTGAGGGCATTAGTTCTAAGCCATTCTTGCAAGTTATATTATTGCACAATATTCAGAATGCATGTTTACACCATCTTCAGGGTGTATTGATTTACCTTCTTCGGAATGCATCGTTGCAAAGTATGTGAGAAGTATCATTGCACTGTATTTGGGCTGCATTGTTACACCTTCTTCTAGATTCATCATTGTACGGTGTATTGGATGAAGTACCACTTCGTCAGGTGCTTCATTGTTCCACAACGTACATTGGGATTTTGCAATGCACGCTATGACTTCATAAGTGACTTCACTGTAAGGAACATGTGGCAGTTAATGGTGGTTTAGGGTAGAAGGCAGCCAACAGTGGTAGATCGTGGTCGGCTACTGCAAGAGTGAGAGAAATTCAGTCTTCTTCTAGCTCTAGATCTAGGTCCTCTCTCAGGTGGGAGGTAGGGCTCCATTTATAGTCTGGGAGAGAACTCCCAACAAATAAGAAAGAAATTCAAAGCATTCCATCAGATGATCCAGAGGGATTCCTCGATCGAATTATATTCAGTAAACATTTGAGTGTCTTAATGATATCAGAATTAAACAATCTTGGGCTCGTTAGTTATGTCTCACAGAGATGTTCTATTTTACTAAAGGTGTGTCATATTTTGAATTTGTTTGATCTTTCAGTTATGTACAGAAAGCTTCCAAATGTTGTTTAACTGTTTGATCTGAGTTTTATTTGACTTGGATTGGACGAATTTTGGAATCATTAGGTTCATCTTGTTGAATTGATTAGTTTGACTGTAAGTTCGCTGAAATCGGAGTTCTGGATGATTTTAGTCGAAAATTAAACATTTCTTATTCAAAAGATTGCCTTAAAATTCATGATGTTTTGAAATTCATGCCAAAGAATAAATTTGTTGATAGTGTATCAATATTTAAATAATGATATTTTACTGATTTATAGCTATGCTTACATGTTTGCAAATAAAATTTTTATAATAAAATAAACTAGCAAATTTTTTTTAATGTGCTTTTCATCAGCCCAACTTTCTTATGTGATAAAATTAAAAAAAAAAAAGATTATAATTGCTTGTAACTGAAGATAATTATGTGATATTACAATAAAAGAATGTGTTAAATCTTTGATTACATCATCAATTGCCATAATTCTTCTTCAAATGCCATTATAAGACCACTAGAGATGTTTTTTCAACAGAAGCAGTGAAATCCACTAGGCTAATTCACTAGTAGATGGGATAAATAAAAATTAATATTTCCAAAACAAAATAATTCAGATAAAACAAATATTTTTAAAATAAAATAATAGGAAAAAAAACGCCTTTGAAAGGAATTTTAATAGAATTTCTCTTGTAAGAAAAGGAAAGGAAAGGCAACAATTATTGTACCATGGAGAGAGATCTTAAAGAACCAAATCCCAAATGGGCACCATGAATTGATATCTATTGCTTCTGTTCCACCAAAAATATATGGTGGATGTAAAAGAGGAGGAAGGTCCCATATAATAATTCAAAAAGGTTATTTACATAGTGCACCCATATCTATGCAGTTGGCGGCCACTATTTAATTTGCAGCTCAAATAGTATGAAACTTCAATTTTTATTTTTTTTTTTATTTTTTCTGGCCATAATAATGGCGTTCATGTGATTGATTCGCTGTTAGATACGAATATAATCCACGCTTTTGTAATGGGCCAAATCCTTTCAACTGGTGCCACTTAAAATCACATCATCAATTTTGCAATATGACGGCCATGCACAAATAGAAATAT